TGAGCTTGGGAAGTGGCTCAATGCTGGTTATGGTTGAACGCACTGTCCCAAATCTCGTTGTATCCAACCCATTCAAGAATGTGTTTGTCTTTTCTTCATTCCTATCTTCCTCCAATTGCTGTGCCAGTTCTCCACAGCTACACGTCCTGATAGGTTTATAAACCGCAAGTTCATCCCACATTTTCTTCAGTTTTCCATAATACACCAAAACAGAGTCTCCATTCTGTCTACAGTTAGCTATTTCACCTCGTAGCTCACTGATACGAGGTCCGTTTCCAACTGAGAACTGCAGTTTAATATCCTCCCATAGAGAATATGCTTCATCCACCATTGAAATCGAACTTTTGAGTGTAGGTTCGATTGTGTTCATGATCCAAGCTACCAACATCGAGTTAACTACCTCCCACTGCTCTATCTCATCCTCCTTCTTTGGTTTTGTTAGAGTTCCATCAATGAAACCTATCTTCCTCTTGGTCCGCAAGGCGTTCCGCACGTGCTTAGCCCAATCCTCATAGTTTTCTCCTTTCAGCTGAACCGTCGTGATCACGTTTCCTGGTCCATCTGATGGATGAAGGTAATACGGTGACAGTTTGGCTTTCTCCATTGCCATCATCGTTCCTGCGCTGCTTTCCGCGAGCTCTCCATCTTCTTTTCTTGTTCCCATCTTTCTCTCTGTAAACTTTTCTCTGTTTATTTTCTTTCAATTTTCTATGAACCCTTTTGGCTCTGATACCATGTCAAAGAGAGAACGTAATCTTGTGCCGTCTTATTCATCAAGCCAGAAGGTTTATATACAACCAAGAGTAAACCCTCGTATCATCTCCATATAAGGAATATTAACATATTGAGATATACGATTAGGCTATTATACTATATTTACATATGAGTCCTCAATAGTTAGTACTCTGTTTTTTTCATTAGATGTCTGAAATTGGCAGAAAGTTCTTAGCTTTGGTTAGATTCTTTAGTTAGTACTCTGTTTTGTCATTAGATGTCTGTAATTGGCAGAAAGTTCTTAGCTTTGGTTAGATTCTTTAGTTAGTACTCTGTTTTGTCATTAGATGTCTGTAATTGGCAGAAAGTTCTTAGCTTTGGTTAGATTCTTTAGTTAGTACTCTGTTTTGTCATTAAATGTCTGAAATTTGCAGAAATTTCTTAGCTTTGGTTAGATTCTTAAGTTAGTACTCTGTTTTGTCATTAGATGTCTGTAATTAGCAGAAAGTTCTTAGCTTTGGTTGGATTCTTTAGTTAGTACTCTGTTTTCTCAGTCAATGTCTGTGATTGGCAGAAAGTTCTTAGCTTTGGTTAGAATAGTTTGTTGATGACTTCTCTATGTTTCTAGTACTCTGTTTCCTGTGTTGGTTCATGATCAGTAGATAAGTTAGCTTAGGAAAAGGTCAGTTTTTGAGTTTCTTCGTGTTTCCTTCTCTGTTTTGTGATAGTTTCATGAAACTGTGAATGGTTTGCTTTAGGGTATGCTTAAATATTCGTTCTTGTAGTGAATCTATTTGTACTATGATAGATTCATGATTAATAGACAAATAGCTTGAGTTTTATTCATTGTTTTCGTGTCTGTTTTCATGAGATTGTGAATTGTTTCCTTTAGGTTCTGTTCACATATTCATTCTTGTAATGAATCTATTTTGGGTTTTGGATGTTGCAGGTACCATGACAATGCATATGTAAGCTCTCGAGCTTTACACATTGTGAATGCTCTAAACGCTAATGCTACCTTTAGTTTACTGGAAGGCTTCTTTGAGCATCAGGTTTGCTAATTAATTGTAGCTGCTTGTTCCTGTTTACATCTCTATTCAGTTAGAATTTTGATATGTTTATTGTGGTTTCACTGAAACTGTTTATTTGATAGGCATTGTTCTCTAACGCTCAAACACAACTCCTGTCAAGACTTGAAGTTGTGGAGAAAATTGTCAAGCTTGGAACAGCCACATTGGGAAACTCATATCAACATGTTCTCAAATCCGGCTTCAACAACACAATATCAGACCGTGCAACCAAAGTTTCCTTCAAGGTGATTCCTTCACTTCTCATCTTTTGGATTGTTTTACTTTCTTCAAAATATTTCACTAACCATTGTGTTATTACCTCAACAAATGGTGAACGGGTCAAATAGTATTTTTTTTAGTTCATATTTTGGCGTTTGTGTGTGGTTATGTGGTTGCAGTATAGCGCTTCAAGAGGGGTTTATGGAACACCAACCTTCTACGTTAACGGGTTCGTATTACCCAACGCTGGTTCTCCCTTAGATTTTGGAGGATGGAAAAAAGTTCTTGATCCTCTGGTTCAACACCACAAGGTAGAGATGCAAGATGATATCATTACCTTCCTTTGATAAGTGCTTTTGCTAATGAAGTATCAAATAAAAAATAGTGCTTTTGCTGTGTCCTGGTGACTATCTCTGTAAAGCAAATAAATATGACTTGGTCAAACCCATACACTGTAAACTCTCTGTAATACATCTGTAGTTTGATCTCCTTCATCTCTGATGATTATGTATTATATGTAGCGTCTTCACTGTATGACTCTTCGATTTAAAAATTAACGAAATGTGACTAGTTTTTGTGCGGCAAAAGCTTAAATGCGTCTCACGTTTGGTGGGTCAATACTCCCAACTATATTTTTATTTGGTATTTTGGTCACAACAACCGTTTTTTTTGGTTAAAACATTATTTTTCTTTTCTCCAAAGATGATAGCTGACATTTTATATATTTTTTTTTATTTAATCACGAAATTTTTCGAAACTTACACTACAAACGACAACGAACAATGTGTATCTAAAATTATTAAATACTTTTTTTTGACTAAAAATTTATTAAATATACTTGTACAAACTTTCTTTTGCATAAAACATGTAAATTAATTGAAAAGTTTGACTGCATCAGACTCTGTTAGCACTTAGCACCGATAATCCAGAAACTTTCTATTAATAACAGGTAGATTCGGTTTTCTTCAAACAATTTATTTATGATTCTTCTACTAAAAAAAAAGTCATATGAAAGACTCTTTCCTTCGCATTTTGTGCAACTGTATGATCTAAAATAAAATAAAAAATATTATTATTACAAGAATTTATTCTCACCATAAAAAATAAAATAAAAAACTCAACTAAACCGATAAAATTGATATGAACCGAAGTTAAGAACAAACCGGTATATAAATCCGGTTCGAAACTCTGATTACCGGTTTAGTAATATTAGTACTAACGAGAAACTATAGTACATTGGCTGGTTTAGTAATTGGTTAATATTAATTTATCGTGGTTCGGTTCGGTTAAGTTTAATAAAACCACAAACCGAAAAACCGGTTAGGGTGTGTGTGGAAGAGGAGGAAGTGGTGGAGCGGCTGATATATATGAGAGAGAGAGAGACGCTTTGTAACAAATCTTCTCTTAGGGCTTAAAAACGGAGAGAGAGAGAAGACGACGAAGCCGTACAAAGAGGGCTCTTCAAAAAAAAAACAGAACATCCGCTTAAGGTAATAAAGCAACATTGATTATTCCATTTTTGGTTTGGAGTTTTAATGATTGGTTGATTCTGTTTGTTATTAGATGGAGAAGTATGACCGTGTGGTGAAGAAGAAAGATGAGACTCCGATTGATGCTAACGAGATTCGTATCACTAGTATGGGCAGAGCACGTAACTACATCACTTATGCCATGACTCTTCTTCAGGTATTGTCTTGTCTCTAAGGGTTTATCAACAGTTTTTTTCTTTTTTGTCAAACTGTAACGACGACGTTTTGATGAGGTCTCACCGTCTCAGATAGATTTATTGTGTAATTAGTAATGTTAATGTTTGTTGTTGGGAGGGAGATTTGGTTCTAGGGTTTATGAACAGAGTTTGTTAACTATAACGACGACGTTTTTGATGAGGTTAGATAGATTTAATGATGGAGAAGAGTAATTGTTGTTATTTTTGGGAGATTGATTGTTAGATTTGTTTTGTAATTAGTGATGTTTAATGTCAATGTGTGGTGTGGTTAGTAATGATTAACTGTTTGTATTATTTTTGGTAGATAGATTTTTAGATTTATTGTGTAATTAGTAATGTCAATATGTGGAGTGATGATTGTAAGGTTTCTCTGTGGATTTTTGTGATTTTCATTAATTGAATTGTTTTTATTTAAGACTTTGTTTTTTTGTAATGTATAGGAGAAAGGGTCTACTGAAGTTGTGTTCAAGGCAATGGGAAGAGCTATCAACAAGACTGTCAACATTGTAGAGCTTGTTAAGGTAATTTTTTGAGTTTTTTATTTGTTGTTGTGTTTATTATTACACAAACCTTGGTTTCAGATGATGGGTTGTCTGAAAATTTTCTTATTTTAATGTAATAATGTGTAACGCAGAGAAGGGTCCCTGATCTTCATCAGAACACATCTATTGGATCCACCGACATCACAGACACATGGGAGCCTAAAGAGGAAGGCCTTCTACCGTAAGAATCCCTTTTTAAAATATTTTTTTATTAATAACTTTTAACATGTATGTCTGTTTTGTTCTGCTTGTTTTTCACCTGGACTAATTGTTTTTTTATGTTTTCCTTTTTTTTTGTTGTCTTGAAGTATTGAGACCACAAGGCATGTATCCATGATAACCATTACCCTATCCACGAAAGAGCTTAACACATCCTCCATTGGGTAAGTTTCTCGTTTTGATCCTTCTGATTGGCATTTTTTGGGTGGTCGTTGGCTATAATTAGATCTATGCCGTCTGTCTCAATCATTTGTCGGATTAATAGGCTTCGTAACTTCATACTAGTAATAATATTTGATCTAATGATGTTGCAGGTACCAGTGCCCGATTCCTATTGAGTTGGTGAAGCCATTAGGCGACATCGACTATGAAGGAGGAGGTTTGTTCAGTCACTCTTAATGATATCATTATATATTATCCCTTGTGCTTGGCCGTCTTTATAAGTTTTCTGTTTTATATTTCCCGTAGAGGGTTCACCTGGTGGCAGAGGGAGGGGAAGAGGAAGGGGACGAGGGAGAGGAAGAGGTGGCAGAGGTAAGTAGTGTTCTATTTAAATCATCACGCTCTCAGGCTTCATATGATTCATGGATCTTTGGTTATGCACAGGGAATGCATATGTGAACGTGGAGTATGAAGAAGGCGGCTATGAACGTAACCAGTCGTATGGTAGAGGAAGAGGGCGTGGCAGAGGACGCAGCAGTCGTGGTGGTCGAGGAAGAGGAGGATACAATGGTCCTCAGAATGAGTATGATGCACCACAAGATGGTGGTTACGGTTATGATGCTCCTCATGAACACCGTGGATATGATGACCGTGGTGGTTACGATGCTCCTCAGCGGCGTGGTGGTTACGGTGGTCATCAGGGACGTGGTGGTTACGATGGTCATCAGGGACGTGGTGGTTACGATGGTCATCAGGGACGTGGTGGCTATGATGGTTATCAGGGACGTGGTGGTGGTGGCTATGATGGTCCTCAGGGCCGTGGTGGTGGTTACGATACAGGCCGTGGTAACAACCTTTTTCTATTTAACTCTATTATGGAATGGTAAATGTGGGGATTGAGTTTTGAATTCGGTTTGGTATAGGGCGTGGTCGTGGAAGGGGAGGTGGTCGTGGAAGAGTAGGAGGAGGGGGCCGTGGTGGTGGATTTAACAACAGATCAGATGGACCACCAGTCCAGGCAGTTGCTTGAGAATGGAGAGTGAGGTTTCTATGTTACTCAAACATAAAAAAGATTTAAAAAAAAAAAGCCAAGTGGTTTGATGTTTTGTTCTATCGCCTTGCTCTCTCTCTCTCCCTCTATGTTTGATTCTATCCATCGAGAAGACATGTTATTGCATCTCTTTTTATCCATTGATTCACAGTTTTTCTTTTAGTTTGCGACTGTTTTCTTTTAGAGTTGCTTTAGATTTATATGTTCAATTTATTTATGATCTTAGTATTTTTGTTAGAGATTTTAAATTATCATCCCTTGTGTTTATTTTGTTTTGTAGTCTTGTTTAGTTGAGAGAGTAAGAGTATTAATAATTTTTGCTCAATTTGCTCAATGGTTTTAGTTTTGATGGAACAGAGGATTCTTTTTTTTTGTTCCTAAGCACTTGTTCTGTCTATTTGAACTATTTTACGAAAAACATTCCACCGTTGAAGAAGCAAACCATTTGTAAATTGGCTTTCTTCTGTCTAATCTTTGGGCACATAAGAAAGCAAATGTTAGATAACTGATTCACACACGGAAACGGAAGCAATTTAATTTATTTCTCGACTAAACCGGCCCAGGGTATTTTTTATGTTGGTACTTGTGTATACGTGGCGTATATTTTGGACTGATAGAGATAAAACGACATCGTATAGAAGAGGATTATGATGGTTAAAAAGATTACGCGCCGTTGCCGGGGATCGAACCCGGGTCACCCGCGTGACAGGCGGGAATACTTACCACTATACTACAACGACTTTGTTGTTAACTCTAAGAAATTAAAACAGCTAATCAGAAACAACAAGTTATGACTACTATCCTGGTTCTGCAACCAAAGCCCTGCTCTTACCTCAATGTGACACTTCTTTTGTGTGTAGAAGAAGAAGAAGACTTATTTCTAGACTATAATATCATTTATTTGGTGACACAGTTGACACCTTAAAGAGTAGTAGAATCTTAATGGGCCTTGGCTAATGATACGGCCCATTTTAGATGCCTCAGAAGGTTAAAACTCAAAAAACTGCTCTGTTCTTCGTTTCTACACTGTTTATGCAAAACGAACGAAGAATGAAGATTCAGAAGACTGAGGTAGCGAACAATCCAGAAGAATACGAATTGAAAAGTCTGCTGCTTGTTGAGGCATGAAAACCAGTGGAGTGTTCATCAATTGCAAGATTGCTCAGTTCGAGCTTAGGCGGGACTAATTCAAACGCATGTGGTGACGTGGCAAGAGAAGAATTATCCCATGTTAAGATATACATAAATCAGAGAGATTCTAGGAAGTAGAATAATAGATTTATTGTTATCTGTAAGCTAAAAATCAGATCGTCTAGGACTATAATAGACGAGGCTGGTGGTTTAGGTTAGACACGGTTTTTGAGAGTTCTAACACCGAGAGCAGAAAGTGTTTTGAGTCTCGTGTGTCTTGAAGTTGTTCAGTGTTGATTCACAAGTTGTGAAGTCAAGTGAATCTGATTAAACAAGTTAGTGTGTAATTTGTTTAAAGAACTTCAATAAGAGTATTCAGTTTGATCTTCTTGAGACTATATCCGTGCTCTAGGTTTTTCATTTGGTATCAGAGCGGGAACCTATCTAGATCTTACGATTTATAACAGGTAGAGATCCTGAGGAGAGCATGGATTCATCTAAAGAGCTTGTAGCTGTTCAGAGAACCTTCATGTTGGATGAGAACAATTTCGGACACTGGAAGGTTAGAATGAAACAGAGACTCAAGGGTATCGAAGAAGATGTATGGACTGCAGTGGAGATGGGATGGACTGAGCCAACCCAGAAAAACGAAGATGGTGAACAAGTTCCCAAACCTAAGGAGGATTGGACAGACAAGGATAAATCAGAATCAAAACACAACTCCAAAGCCATCTCAGAGATTTTCAACGCAATTAATCCAGAGCAGTTTAAACTTGTTCAAGGATGTGTTTCAGCTAAGGATGCTTGGGATACATTGGTTGACTACTATGAGGGCACCTCCACTGTGAAGAGGACGAGGCTTGATCACTTAGCCNAGGATGAGTCAATAACTGGTTTCAGTTCAAAACTAAGCGCAATTGCACATGAAGCAACTGTTTTGGGAAAAGAGTACAAAGACAAGAAACTTGTTAAGAAGATGATTCGCTGCTTACCAGACAAGTTTGCTAACTACAAGCCTTTACTAAAAGTTGGGATGAACACGGATGATATGAAGTTTTCACAACTTGTGGGAATTCTTAAAGCCGAAGAGATGGAATCGAGTGGAGAGCAAGCCAAGAAAGGTAAAGGGATAGCTTTTGCAGCTGATAAGGAGGAAGACAAGATACAAGTGTTGCATGATACACTGAATCAGAAGTTGGAAGACAGTATGGCATTGATGGCGCGTAACTTCAAAAAGGCTTTGAGAAGAATTGAGAAAGGTCAAGGAAGAGGACAGAACTCCCAACAGACATCTGATTCAAATCAAGATTGGCGACGTGATAAAGAAAGATTCAGCAGCAAAAATACCAGAAGTGATGCAAATTCATCTGGAAGGAAACGTGATCTCCAGTGTCATGAGTGTGATGGAATAGGACACATCCGATCTGAATGTCCTATAACAAAACGCAAAGAACTCAAATGCTACGAGTGCAAAGGTTTCGGCCATATCAAGTCAGAATGTCCAAACTTGCTCAAGAAAGGAGACAAATCATTCCTTAGTTTCAGTGACACTGAATCTGATGAAGAAGAAGGTAGCGACAACATGATGACTCTGGTTGCATTTATAAGCGAGGAAGATGGGAAGAAATCTTTGGCTGAGACAGATTCAGAGGAAGATGAGGAAGAGATTGATCCTAAGGTTGAATTTCGGAAGCTGTATGAAAATTGGGTAGCACTGAGCAATGATAATCTGAAGCTGCTTAAGAATAAGGCTATGCTGGAAGCACAGATTAACATTCTTGAGATGGAGAAGACTGAAGAGGTTTCTAACAATGTGTCTAGCTCAGTGTCGGGTTTGGACAAGCAGGAAACAGAAAGGATCATGGAACTCGAATCCAAAGTGTCACGATTAGCAGAGTTACTGAGTCTTGAAGAAAGCAAAAATCGGAATCTGGAACACGATCTGAGTGAGAATCATAAGAGGATAAGAATGATGAGTTCAGGAACACAGGAACTAGATAAGATCCTGAACATTGGACAACCGCCAAATGTGAGTTGGGGTCTTGGATACTGTGGTGACCAAACTAGACAACCTCAAATAACTCACCCGGGAGCATCAACTTCAACCGGGTTTGTTCGACCTAAGGAATTAACAGTGGCAAAAGAAAAGGTGACTCAGCAACAGAATGGCTCGAAGAACGTTCAGGTTACTGAAAGAAAGGGACAGACATGGAGCTGTAATTCGTGTGGACTCAAGGGTCATATTGCCAAATACTGTTATACACGGCGTAACAATATCCGACAGGCTTGGAAAAGAGGTACATGCTATCTTGAGCCTAAGCACTATGGGAGCTACTGGATTCCAAAGACAATTCTATATGCTAAGAGACGTGAGGAAGAGTTTGGTGATGAATTTGATGTTATGAGTGGGGTACTTCAAGTTGATGAAGTAATCTTATCTTCTGCAAATGAAGTGGTAAAAGACAACCGTGATATGGATGTTCAACAGATATGCAACTTTGTGCAATTAGAGTTGGTGGAGGACAGGTCTGATCAGAAGAGAAGCTTGGTAGCATATACGTCATCTGCTCATTCAAAATTGACTGCTTGGTATTTTGACAGTGGTTGTTCAAGACACATGACTGGTCAGCAACAAGTTCTGACAACCTACAGCGAGCTAAGTGGAGGAAAAGTAATTTTTGGAGATGGAGGCAAAGGAAGCATTCGTGCCGTTGGTACTGTTAGTGGTCCAGATCAACCAGCTCTTGTCAACGTTTATTTTGTAGAAGGATTGACGGCCAACCTAATCAGTATCAGTCAACTGTGTGATGAGGGACTCAAGGTGGTATTCACTAAAACAGAATGTCAGGCAATTGATATTAGAGGAAACATCATCCTTCAGGGAATTCGTGCTGAGAACAATTGTTATATGTGGAGACCTTTGAACACGTGTCTGTCAGCTACCGAATCTCAGCTTGATTTATGGCATAAACGAATGGGACATATGAATGTCAATGGCTTACAGAGGATTGTTAAGGCAAATGTAGTAAGAGGAGTTCCCAAGCTTGAGGAGTCATCTGGATCTGTATGTAAGGCATGTTGTCAAGGGAAGCAGATAAAGGTCCAACACAAACAAATCAAAGAAATAACTTCTAAGAGAGTGCTGGAACTTATACATATGGACTTGATGGGTCCAGTTCAGACTGAGAGTATTGCGGGTCGTCGATACATATTTGTACTGGTAGATGATTATTCACGTTTCACATGGGTAAGATTCCTGAGAGAGAAGTCTGAGACTCTACAAAGCTTCAAGATGCTAGCCCTTCAACTGGCCAACGAAAAGGGGAGTATTGCACAGATCAGAAGTGACAATGGTGGTGAATTTCAGAACGAAGCTTTTGATCGTTTTTGTCAAGAGCGAGGTATAAGAAGACAATTCTCAGCTCCAAGAACACCTCAGCAAAATGGTATTGTTGAAAGAAAGAATAGAACTCTGCAAGAAATGGCTAGGGCTATGATGCATTACAATCAAGTACCCACAAGATTTTGGGCTGAAGCCATCAGCACGGCATGTTACATTATCAATAGAGTGTATGTGAAACCCAGAACAAAGACTACTCCATACGAAATCTGGAGAGGAAAGACACCTAATCTGAGTCATCTTCATATTTTTGGATGCATTTGTTACATACTCAATGACAGAGAAAACTTGGGCAAGTTTGATTCCAGAAGTGATGAAGGAATATTCTTGGGTTACTCAACACACAGTATGGCTTTCAGAGTATACAACAAAGCCACAAAGACAGTGATGGATGCAGTGAATGTGGTTTTTGATGACAGAAACAGTCAAGTTCTGGAGCAAGGGGAGCAAGACGAGAACCTGTTGAAAAACACATATGCTGAACTGCGCAACAGTGACAAAGAACCTTGCTCAAGTGACATCGAGCCAAATAAGCTTCAAGTTCACAAGAATCACTCTGCTGATGATGTGATTGGTGATTTGGATGCTGATCGAGTTACCAGGAGACTTCAAATAAACTTCAAAGAAATGGTGAAACTTGCCTGTTTCATCTCATTAGTTGAGCCAAAGGATGTGTATGAAGCGTTAGAAGATGAATTCTGGACCGACTCATGTCATGAAGAACTTGAACAGTTTGCCAGACATGATGTATGGGAATTAGTACCAAAACCCTCAGGAGTGAATGTCATTGGAACAAAGTGGATCTTCAAAAACAAGATAGATGAAGATGGTAATGTAGTCAGAAATAAGTCACGATTGGTTGCTCAGGGGTATTGTCAGATAGAAGGTGTGGACTTTGATGAAACTTTTGCTCCTGTAGCCAGGTTGGAATCAATCAGGTTGTTGCTCGGAATTGCATGCAAGCTGAACATTAGATTGTACCAGATGGATGTCAAGAGTGCGTTTTTGAACGGGTTACTCCAGGAAGAAGTGTACGTTGCACAACCAAAAGGATTCGAAGACCCCAAGTTTCCTGAACACGTCTATAAACTGAAGAGGGCTCTTTATGGCTTGAAACAAGCACCTAGAGCTTGGTATGAAAGACTCACGCAATTCCTTCTTGAAGCAGGTTTTAAGCGTGGAAATGTCGATCGAACCTTATTCATTCTTGAGAAGAACAGTGAGATGTTGGTCATGCAGATTTATGTTGATGACATCATCTTTGGAGGCACAAAGGAAACGTTGGTGAAAGAATTTGTCCAGACTATGACTAGCGAGTTTGAAATGAGCATGGTTGGAGAACTTAACTACTTTTTGGGACTTCAAATCAAACAGATGGATGAGGGAATCTTCGTCTCACAGAGCACATACTCCAGAAACCTGATCGCCAGATTTGAGATGCATATGTCAAAGGAATCAAGGACTCCAATGAGTACAACATGCAAATTGTCAAAAGATGAGCAGGGAGTGAAAGTCGATGAAAAGCTGTACCGAGCTATGATAGGAAGTTTGCTGTATCTTACAGCCAGTCGACCTGATATCTGTTACAGTGTCGGTGTATGCGCACGGTACCAAGCTAGTCCACGAGTGTCACACCTAAATGCACTGAAGAGAATAATCAAATACGTGAAAGGAACAACCAATCTTGGATTATATTACACAAAAGATACTAATCTAAGCTTGGCTGGTTTTTGTGATGCAGATTGGGCTGGTAGTTTGGATGACAGAAGAAGCACATCAGGTGGATGTTTCTTCTTGGGCAATAATATGGTTTCATGGCACAGTAAGAAACAAAATTGTGTATCTCTCTCGACGGCTGAAGCAGAATACATCGCCCTAGGAAGTTGTTGCACTCAACTGCTGTGGATGAAGCACATGCTAGCTGACTATGGTATGACTTCGAACCCACTAATGGTATATTGTGATAATCAAAGTGCAATTAATATCTCGAAAAATCCTGTGATGCACTCTAAAACGAAACATATTGCAATAAGATATCATTTTGTTAGGGATTTGGTTGAGGCCAAAATTGTGGTTTTAGAGTTTGTCTCATCAGCACGTCAATTGGCAGATATTTTCACTAAAGCTCTTGATCTAAACACGTTTTTAAATTTAAGAAAAGCGATTGGTGTTTGTGAAGCTTGAGCAGCTTGGGCT